AGGCAGGCGAAACTGCACTTCCAATCTCGCCATCACCTTGCTGCTCACACGGGAGACATGCACAGCAGGGGCCCAGTGCACCGAAGGGCACTCGTGGACGGGTACTTGAGACGGCCCTGCCCTTTTTGGCACAACCGCCTTGGCCCACACCAGCCACAGTTCCCGCGGCTCCCAGGAGTCGCGCGTGTGTCTGATGGACCCCCAACCCCCTAAAGCAGGCACAGGGCGGCCCGAAGCTGCAGGGCTGATGACCGGTTTCTGAGGATTGCAAACCAGCCTGGATTTTTTAAGAAAAGGAAAGATGTAAGCTCTTTAGCCAAAACAAGATGAAAACCTCAAAGGAATTCAAATTACTCAGCCACAAGAAGGAAGGAAGGAGGACGGAGCAGCACCAGGCTGAGGTTCCCACTGACGAGGGTAGAGCGAAGCCGCCTGTCTTCTTTCACCTGCAGAAATCTAAACCTTCAGCTCATTCAGCAGCAAAATGGCCAGTTTTAGCTTGAGGAAGCTGATTCGGAAGTCCAGGGGTGACAGCTGCCCCAGATGCAGCTGCGGGCTTGTGGGCTCTTTCTTCGGCCTTGTCTGTGAAACCCCCAGCTCCAGCCCCAGGCCCTGCGGCAGGGACGCCCTGCGCTCCAGGGCCTCCATCCAGACACTTGCCTGGCCCATGCGCAGGGCTGTCAGGATGCACTTCACAGACACAGGGGCCGACATAAAGTGAGGTGGCTGCCAGTGAGCGCGCACATCTGCACTGTCCAGGCGCAGTGACCTGGGCGGGCAGGACCATGCCACCGGCCAGCCTCCAGCCTTCACCATGGGCAACACAGATCTACTGGTCCAGCCTCATGGCCGGGCGCCGGCAGCAGCCTCTCCCAGTCAGCACCCCAGAGCCCCTGCTGCAGGACAGGGGATGCTTGTGGCTTGGTGGAGAGCTTGGCGGCACACACGGCCCTCAGTGGCCCCAGGGCCCAGGCTGCCGCAGAAACTACATACATGGTGTCCAGTCTGTCCCATGGCTCTCAGGTGCTGGGCATCAGCTGCCGTCGGCTGCGTGCCCAGAGGTGACCTCGATGCCCCCCCAACAAGGGGGGATGGCCAGGTGGCCTGGCAACTCCCTTCCGCTCCCTCTGTGCCTGAGCCTCTGTGCACGTCTGTGCCGGCCTTGCCACATGGCCGGACCACATCCCAGGGTAGGAACACAGCTGCCTGTATCCAAGGGCCAGGCATGCAGAGGGCACCAAAATGAAAGCAAAGGGTAGCCATGACACGCTGCAGCCGCCGCCGGCTCTGACGCAAGGCCCCATATGGGCCTCAGCTGCATGAGGCCACAGGGTCCCGGAACACGGGTCACAGAAGACAGAAGGTCGGCCCTCAGTGTCTGTGCTAGAGGCATCCCCAGGTGCCCCTGCTCCCTTTGGAGGCTGCCGTTCTCCTGGACATCTTGGAGTGGCTTGCACCCTCAAATGCAGAGCTGGCTGGACCGGGCACCCACAACCTCTCCTTCTGTGTGGAATGTGGCCGAGCACCAAGCAGAGCATGGTCCATGCTGCCTTGTCTCTGGGCACATGTGTGCTGGCCCGAGTCTCTCCTGCAAATGTGTATCTTGTCTCCACCCTGTATCTCTGTGTTGATGCGGCAATGTCCAGACTGTGCTCGAAGCCATGAAGAATTTCCCAGGATCTTCTAAAAGAAACTGCTCCCCCCAACCGAGAACTGGGCGTTCCACTGCCACATCCAGCTCTCTGGCCCCACAGAGGACAGGTGAGCGGTGGCTTCTGGGTGGCCAGGAGGGACAGGGAAGGGGCAGCCCCACCCCTGCCTCTGGGGGAAGGCCAGCTGCAGTCCTCAGCGCTGTGGCTGGCTCCAGTCTGAAGGCATCAAGTCATGTAAAGGGGCTGAGCCCCCAGTTCCTGTGAGCAAGACCATGCCGAGGGCAGACGGAGTTTGCTGCGGGAAGCCAGAGGCCAGTGCAGGTGAAGGCCTGGGCCCTGGCCTGGAGCTCAGCCCTGGACAGAGCCAGCATGTCTTGCAGCTGTGGTCTTCCCGGCTCCCTTCCAGGAAACACGTACCATGTTAGCACATTCAGAAGGGCCACGGCATGGGGGTGGGACCAGCAAGTGCATCCTGCAAGTTGGGACCTGCCCTACACAGGCCAATCAGAGCCGTGCCCACGGCCTCCCACAGATGTGGGCAGGAGCCACCCATGCAGGCCAGGGCCACGGCCTCCTCAACGCACAGGCTGGTCTGTCACAAGTGTTCACTCCAGTGTTGCCTCTGGAGTTACCCCAGTGCACCTTCCTCAGCGCTACTTCATGGACGTCTGTGCTCTGTTCACAACAACATTCCAGTTAACAGTGACTCTTGTCTTTGGAACTGTTTTCTGCCAGCCTCAGGGAGCGCTGTGGAAACTAAAGCTATTCTGCAGACCAGATGGTGAGGGTGAGTGTGCAGGGGCAGCCTGTTCCCAGGACTGTTAAAAACAGCCACGCAAGTGCACTGCCACCATGCACCACTCCTCACCCACGCACGACCCCAGAGACTCCGGATCCCTCACAATCCGCTCTCCAGACCTTCATGGCACCGTCACTAGCAATCCCATGGCCCTGGCCCTTCAGGGACACTCGGTGATGAAGCCATGCGGGCCCCACCAAAAGCAAAGTGTGGCGCTCTGCAGAGTCGCCAGGGAGAGCCACGTCAGGGGTGCAGAGAGACACCTGTCTGGGAAAGTGCTGCTGTTGGTGTTTTCAGACACGTACAGAGGCAGGAGCCAGCACTGCTCACAGATAATTAATAAAGGCCAATCTCATTTGTGTTATTTTGGGGGCTGGGGAGAGAGGGCAGGTTGGAGGTCTTGGCTCTTAGTGCGCCCAATCTCCACAGGGTTCTCTGCCACCATTCTGTGGCATCCAGGATGCCTCGCACTGAACCACAAGGTGGATTTTGGAGAAGGGAAGGAGCGAGTCCCCTCGCTGGCCCCAGCCAGGCATCACGAGGGGTGCCTTGGGTGACTAAGGACTGGCCCTCCTCAGTGGATACCACCTGGGAGGACAAGGATGATAGGCAAGGCTCTGGACTACACAAAGAAGGAAGAAAGTAAGAGCCAGAGGGATGCTGGATTCAACACCTAACTTTTGGCCAGACACTTTGCTGTGGTGGCTACGGCTCTCCCAGACCTGGGTAGGATCTGTCGCCGGGGGCACGGCTGCCAGGTGAGAGGAACAGCAATGTGGCAGGGAGGGCACCTGGCCAGGTGAGGGCGTACCTGGGCCCAGGGGTCTCCATGCCAGGTGGGCGGAGTCACGGCCAGAGGCGGAAAATACAGAAAGGCAGCACTTTTGTCTGAAAGCTGAAATGTATTTAATTCACAGGATAGCCTTTGATTCTGAGTTTATTCATTTTAACTCAGAAAGGAGTTTTCTTTTATGAAATGATGGCAAAATTAGAAGGTAACAATCCAAGCAAGCCTCAACCCCCAAACTATTCTCTAAAGAAAACGTCCCAGTGTAGAGTGCCGGGTCTAAATGCCCACAAGCAGCCTTCACGTTGACATCGTAGCCACACGGGGAGCACGTGCATTTTCCAGAGCACACTGACCTCCCGCTATGGCCCTGGGAGCCGCACTTCACGGTGGGGGCGCTGGCTCAGGGATTTTAAGGTTCATGGTGCCGCGCCTCCCAGGGAGAAGGCCCCAGGCTGGTGGGCCAATGGACAGGGGCCGGCCAAAGCCCTGACCGTGAGTGAGGTGAACACCTGGCCACCCCAGGTGCTCACATCACTGACTAATCGTACTAGGAGAACCTGACTGCTAAATGGCACCATCTACTCACCAGCAAGCCCCTGTGCAAATGTAACTGGCAAAGAGAGCCAGATTGGGGCAGGGACAGCTCCCTGGATGGCCTCACCCTGGTCTCCCTATCCCGGATGGAGACTCACAGAACCACCCAAGTTACTGTACCTTAGAGCATGCTTCCTACCCTCAGAGGCATTAGATGGTCACTCTCAGGAAGCACCAATCCTAACTCTATTGCATGTTAATTTCCAAGCACACCTAAGCCCCTTCTCAAGACAGAGCTGCAGAAAATGTCTCCAAACACGCCCAGAGCTTTTTTTAATCAACTGCCAGAACATCTTTCCAAAAAAGAAACTGACTGTGTGTCCCAGCATGCTCTGTGTCTGGGGACCTGTGGGGACAGTGGGGGAGGAAGCACGGGGCAAGTGTGGGCCTGGCCACCTGGTGGGCCTGTCTACAGCGATCCTGTTCACACTGACACTGATGACCACTGAATATTAGCTTTCTCACACTCAGCAAACATGCAGGTCTAATTTACCCCAGACCCTTCCAGGATGCCAGACCTGGACAGTTCTCTGCTCCTGGACATAGAACCTTCCTCACCCACACTCAGGGCCACCCGGGTCCTAAGCCAGCCTTGCAGTCTGGGTGGCCACAGCTGTGCGGATGTCCTTCTGTCTCCTGAGCCTCTAGCAAGCCTGTGGTCACCCCCCCGCTCCCCAGAGATGGGAGGCACCGCGGCCTCTGACTCTGGCCGTGTTTGCTGAGCGAGCACTAAGGCTCTGGCCAGTGATGCCCCAGGCCTGTAACTCCCACCCCTCCTCCAGCTCCTCCAGCTCCTCCAACCGGGGTACTGCATTCCCGCTTCCCAGGACCCCCAGCCCGGGACGTCTAGGTCCAGCCCCTCCTGCTCCCCCAGTTCCTCCAGCCCGAAACATAGAGCCCCCACACCGCCCCCAGCCTAGGACAAGGAATTCCTATTCCTCCACCCACCACCCAGCACGGGACACTAGCAAGGCCTCCCCCACGGGACCCCCAGACGTCCTGGAGGCTGGGGAGGGACGGGCTCTCCTGGCCCCGCGGTAACTCGTGCGGCCATGGCGGCACACGTCTCGCCTGTCCGCGGGTGGGCGCCAGGAACAGCTCTTGACACTGCTCCCTGTCCCCAGGCGGGTGCGCAGCGCGACCCAGCCGTCGCCCCGCCGCCTACCTGCTTGTCCCGCGCGCGCCGCTCCGTTTCCTCCGCTCCTTTGCGGCCGCTCGCGTACGCTGACGCCACGAAGCTGTCCCCTGCGGCCCGGGGGCGGACGCGCGGGAAACCCGCACCGAGGAGGGAAAGAGACGCCTCGTGACCCAGCGGCGCGCCCCTTCGCTTGTGTCCCCATCCTCCGCGGCGACCTCCAGGGGCAGGCGTGCGGGTCCCGCGCGCCTCCTGGAGACCCGTGGCCCCGTCCCCCCACCGCTGGCTCCAGGACAGGGCGCGCGCGGGCCTCCTGGCTTCGAGGGTCCCGGCCAGGGGTCGCCGCCCCCGCCCCACCCCGCAGCTCCGCTCCCGCTCACCTCCGGCTCTCTCTCCGTGTTGCGGGCGGCGGCGGCTGCGGCCACGGCGGGGCTGCGGCGAGGGAGAGGAAACGACAGTGAGAGGCGGCCCACGCCCGCGCCGCTCGCAGCCGCCGCCACCGGCGCGGCTCACCGGTGCTTGGACTGGAGTTTCCCCCATCGCCCGTCCGCCCGCCCCCGCCGGCCCCGCGCTCAGGTGGCAAGCATGCGTTCTGGAGCTGTGCCGGGCGCGCGCGGGGCCACATGGGTCGGGAGCCAAGCCCTAGGGTTCCAGTAGAAGGTGAGGAAGATGGCTTTAGACCGTGCCGGGGCCATGGGAGCCGGGCCGCGGGGCGGATATGGAGGGCACCGGGCGCAGAGCGCGGGGACAGCAGCGGCGGCGGCCCAGCTCTCTCTGAGCGCGTGCGCCCGCGCCGGGGCTTTAACTGCGGCCCCCGCAGCGCCCCCGGCGGCCGCTGCCCGCAGCGCATCGGCCTCGACCCCCGCCCCCAGCCGGAGCCCCCAACAGCGACGAGGACCGGGCCTGGCCACCCGTAAGGGCGGTCAGGGGCTGCAGCAGAGCCTGGCGGGAGTCAGCTCCGACCCCTCACCAGGCCGTCCTGGGTCAAGACGTCCAATTCCAGAGGAGCCTGAGGGCCCTTCCCTTTGAAGGGGAGGACCCGCCCCCCTTGGCTGCTTGAGAGGGGGTGGGGGTGTGGGCAGCCCAAAGTGGGGGGGGGTCTCCGTACAGGACTAGTTCCCGCCCTCTCCTGGCGCTCCAAATTGATGAAGAACCAGCGTTGGCCCCCCCGGCTGGAAGCACCCTACACCCCCTTGCTTTGTCTTTGGTTTGGGCAGGGTCTCCTCTGATCTGTGCCTTGAGGGTGTGGGAGCCTCCCAGGAGCCCTAAGCCTGGTCACCTGCGCTGCCTCCTCCACGTGTCCAATTCAGTGGCTTCAGCTCCCTCCCTGGCCTCATCTCAAGATCCTCCGGCTGGCTCTGGAAACCACTCCCTCAGGACCCTGCCCTGGACCCCCTCTCTGCCTCCTACCCTGCTGGGTACCTCCGGGCTCTCTTCCTTATTTACCTTCAGAGGAACCATCTTCCCTCACCTCCTCCTGGAACCCTAACTTGCTCCTGTTTCTGGGACATTTCTCCCTTCCCTACCCATGAATCTCCTCCCTGACATGCACTGTTGCATTGATACATTGTATCTCTCTAGCCTTTCAAGAGCTAGCTCAGCATTTTCCCCATGGGCTGTTGCCACGCCCACGTCTCCAACCTCAGTGGGTGACCCCACTGCCAGGGCATCTCCTGTCCCTGGTGGAGGAGCTCCGAGGCTGGCGATCGGGGACCCCTCACCTGCCCAGTTCAGGCCCTGCCAGGCCTCCGCTGAGCTGGCCCAGGTCCCACCCCATCTCTCTGTTCCCACTCCCCTGGCTGGAGCCCTGTCTCCCAGCTGAGCAGCGCAGTCCCGCGGCTGCTCAGCGCTGACCTACACCTCTGGAACTGACGTCCAGCCAAGCCCTTTCAGGCTAATTACTGCCTCCCATTCTCAGACCATCCTCAGGGCAGATGCCGCCATCACTCCATTTTACAGAGACCTAGGCTGCTCAGTGGCAAAACCAGAAGCTGAACCAGGGGCCAGCCCTCACCCCAGCAGACCCCCGTGCTGGCTGTTTGCGGATACCTGAGCTGCCCGTGAGCCACCAACCCTGCTGGGAGTAGTCTTGCCTGCGAACCATTCCCAGCATCCTCAGAAGAACCCTAGTGGAGGGGCCACTTCCTGCAGGCAGATAGCTCTGGCACCTGTAGCAGGGTTGCACCTGGCCAGGCCCTGCCCGGGATGGGCTCAGAGTGCCCTTGGGTGTAGCGTCCAGGTGTCCAGCTTCAGGGCCAGGGCCACCCTCCCAGGCTCTTCCGGCCCCTCCTCTCTCCCTTGCACTACCCCATGTGGACTTTAACTCCCAGTTTGGAAAGTAACGATGTCACCTGTGGTTTCAGGGTCCTAGTGAGTGTGTGAGAATAATAGTATTACATGTTATGCAAAGTAGCACAGCCTGAGGATTGCAGCCATTTCCATGCCTCTAAATCCTGCCCCTACTTGAGGACTGGTGAGCCATCCTGGGTGAAGATCTGCTGGTGGTCTTGTGACCCTTGTGTGGCTGGGAGCCTTGCCTCACACACTCATGGGCACTCCTCCCAAGACCCTGAGAAGGTCTCACTGGGGGAGGTTGGCTATTGTGGGCCATTGTGTCTCACTCCTCAGGTGGCTGAGCTCTGGTCCTGCTAAATGCAGATGTCAGGAGGTCTGGGGAGGACATGTCCTGGGAGGGCAGGTGGAGCTGCGGGGCGGGGGTGGGCTGTCAGCTCAAAGGGCAACCCTAAATGGTCCCTATGCCCCCAACGCCCATTGGACTCTTCCTCTTATGACCATTTCTCCTGGGTAGGGCAGAGCCCACCTGGGGTTGTTCCAGAGCTGGAGTCACCAGCTCCAGGCCCTGCAAAGCTCACCCCCGTGCCAGTTCACAATCCCTTTACATAACATGTAACACTATTATCCTCACACGCTTACTAGGACCCTGAGATTACAGAAGATGACATCGTTACTTTCCAAACTGGGAGTTAAAAGTCCACATGGGATAGCGCAAGGGAGAGCCCCTTGAGATGTTTGCATCACAGGGCGGCCTGGTCCCCTCAGCCATTTCAGGAGGAAGGGGTTCTCTTTGCTCCCCTTGACGTTCCCTTCTGGCATGTGCATGCCCTTGCCCTCTGCGGGGCCAGTGGGCACCCACCACGCCTTCCTAATGCTGCCTCAGTGGTGGCTGCTGTAAGGTGCCCGTCTACTTTTGTAGAGGCCTTGGGACCAGTGTGGTTTGCTGGACGCCCTCCTCACAGGATGCCAGCCCGGGTGTCCTCTCCTGGGCCTGTCTGTGGGGCAACCCCCTGCCTGCCTCTTCCAGGGGCCCTGCAGGGACTTCCAGGTTCCTCAGGCCCGTCCCCGCCTCGCCTTTCTCTCTGCGTCTGCCCGGGACAGCCCGAGCTGGGACCTTCTGGCGGGAGCCGCAGCTTCTCAGGGCAAGTGTCCTTGTCCCTGGGGAACGGCCAGTGTATGCGGGGACACTTGCGGCCTCAGCCCACTGCCGGCCTGGAGGAAAGGACGCGGGGGACCCCCACAAGTGACCAGAGGCTGCAGCGTGGCTCGGGCTCACAGGGGGGTTGCTGGAGCAGCCGGGACCCCCGATGCCCGCACGTCCAGTCCGGGGGTGCTCCGAGGTTGAGCCTGCAGGGGGCTGGTCCGGGGACCATGGTCGTCCTCGCCCTGCCTTTCTCTGGGCCACGGAGCTTTGAGGACAGTTTCACCTGCTGATAAAATCCGTTCCCAGCACTTTCAAAGGGCAGAGCGGGGCTGAAGCCGTCCCTGGAGGTTAAAATGCGCGTCCTCCTCCTCGCAGCTTTTCCAAACAGCTTTTCCTTATCTCATCAGCAGCGGGCGGGGCAGGGGCCTGGCCTCCAGGCTGGGGAGGTGCGGCCGCAGGACGCCGAGGCATCCGCCGTGTGAGGGGCGTCGCGGCGTGAGGGGGCGCCGCTCCCAGCACGGCCGCCTGGGCCCGCCCTTCTCTGCACCAGCCCAGGACCGGCAGGCTCCGAAGCGGGCGGCGGCGTCCGCGGGGCTCTGTCCTCCCGGCCCCTCCACCTCAGCGGACGCAGCCGCGGGGTCCCCACCAACAGCGTTCATGGGGCACCACGGACCCCGTCTCCCTCCGTGGCCATTGTCCCCGCGAGGCCTTGGCGCTCATGCGGCCTTGGGAACAAAAGCGCACCCGCGCGCTCCTCACTCGGGTTGGGACACCCTCGTGAACTCAGCCTCTCCCACCGCGACTCCACCGTTCTGGGAGGCGGGGCTCAGCCTGTTTTGTGGTTGTCACGGTGGCCATGGCTCCTCCTCTCCCGTTTAGAAGGCAGCGAGGTCGGGGTCCGCCGTGTGAGGGGCGTGCGCAGCGTGAGGGGGGCATCCGCCATGTGAGGGGGCGTCGAGGCATGTCCGCGGCGTGAAGGGGCGTCTGCAGCGTGAGGGGCGTCGGAGGCATGACGGGCGTCCGCTGATGGCGAGCGTAGCGGCGAGGGCTGCCCACCGTGTGGCTGAGCGTCGCTGGGAGGGGCGCCCACCGTGTGAGGGGGCGTCACGGCGTAAGGGGCGTGGCCCGCGTGAGGGGGCGTGGCCCGCGTGAGGGGGCGTCCGCGGTGTGTCTGCAGCGTGAGAGGGGGCGTCCGCGGGCAAGGGGCGTCCTCTGTGTGTGGGAAGTCCATGCAGTCAGGAGGCATCCGCCATGTGAGGGGCGTTGCGGTAAGGGGTGTTTGCCGTCTCAGGGGGCGCTGTGGCGTGAGGGGGCGTCCGCCGCGTGAAGGGCGTCTGCCGTGTGAGGGCTTCGTAGCGTATCCACTGTGTGAGGGGCGTCTGCTGTGTGAAGGGCGTCGCGACGTGAGGGGCATCCCCTGTGTGAGGGGCGTCCGCGGAATGAGGGGCGTCCGCGGCGTGAGGGGCGTCCCTGTGTGAGGGGCGTCCTTGTGTGAAGGGGTGTCCGCGGCGTGAGGGGCGTCCCTGTGTGAGGGGCGTCCGCGGAATGAGGGGCGTCCGCGATTTGAGGGGCGTCCCTGTGTGAGGGGCGTCCTTGTGTGAAGGGGTGTCTGCGGCGTGAGGGGCGTCCCTGTGTGAGGGGCGTCCGCGGCGTGGGGGTCCTATGTGAAGGACGTTCCGGGGTGGGGGTGTCCCCCTGTGTGAAGGGCGTCCGGCGGCAGGTTGGAGGGCGTCCTATGTGAGGGGCGTCCGCAGGAAAGAAACACAAAGACAGCGTAATGAATGGTGGTTCTATGGTGAAGGGCGTCGAGGGCCTGTGAGGGCGTCCCTGTGTGAAGGGGCAGTCCGCGGCGTGGGGCGGTTCCCCTTGTGTGAGAGTCCCTGTGTGATGGGAGGCGTCCGCGGCGTGGTCCTGTGGTTGGAGATTCCTGTGTGAGGGGCGTCCGCGGCGTGGCGTCACGGTGTGGCATGTCTGGAAGGCATGGTGTAGCCAACTCTGACCCTGGGGTCAGGAGCCTCTTTTGAAGACACTGTCTTGGCCTGAGGCTGTGGCTGGAGTTGAAATAGGCGCATGCGCGGAGCCAACACCCACTTTGGTGCCCAGCTTTGTCCCCATAGTGCGAGCAAACCCGTGAGCCTCGAGACCCTAAGTAGCCGGCAAGACTGAAATTCACACACGAGCTGGTCTTCGCGTGAGCCTTGGGAACTTCTAAGAAAAGCACTGCCCGACATGGGACAGAACGCTGCTGTGGCACGTCACAGGGAGCCTGCTGGGGCCATTTCCCCTCCCTGCCCATGCTGCGTTGGCCCTGGCGGTTCTGCCCTACGCGGGAGGATGGCGACTCCGGGTCCGGATGTGTGCTCCCGTTGTGTGCTCTTCACTTTGGAAATGGATCACTGCGTTTTTAAGTGCACAAGATCCCCTGGATGTCGCCTGCACACTGCCCCCTAGGCAGCCTTTGTTTGAGTCCGCCTCTCCTTGTCTGTGCAGCCTCTGCCTGCCATGCTGACTCCTGAAGCCTTGGCTGTGCCTCCCACGTGCCCCGAGTTTCCCTGCAGACACACGCTTTGGCATGAACATGCCTTACTAAGGCATGAACAGGAAGTTCAAGTGGCTGCCACACCCAAGTGCCTTGCATTTCACCTGCTCCCCTCACCGCCCCCCGCCCCGGGTGTTGCCACACGACGCTTATTTTGAATTACAGGGTGGTTGTGATATCACCTCTGGTTCATGGACTGTTAAAACTATTAAAAAGGAGGTGGATGTGAAGCATGCCTACCTGTTTCCTGGCACAGCTGGAACGTTGCCAGACCACTGGATACTTAGAAGGATAATTCTACATATATCTTCAGCCATCATTCTGACCGCATCCAAAAGATGAATCATCTGCCCTATTAAATTTAATGACCATGCATTTCTCAAGGGAAAATGCCTCAAAGGGACCCAGACTGGCCACAATTCATAGTTGAGGAAACACGTCTTTCAGTTTCAGGTAAATATTTTGTGCAAATTTTTTTTTTTTTTTTTTTTTCCGAGACGGAGTCTCGCTCTGTCACCCAGGCTGGAGTACAGTGGCCGGATCTCAGCTCACTGCAAGCTCCGCCTCCCGGGTTTACGCCATTCTCCTGCCTCAGCCTCCCGAGTAGCTGGGACTACAGGCGCCCGCCACCACGCCCGGCTAATTTTTTGTATTTTTAGTAGAGACGGGGTTTCACTGTGTTAGCCAGGATGGTCTTGATCTCCTGACCTCGTGATCCGCCCGTCTCGGCCTCCCAAAGTGCTGGGATTACAGGCTTGAGCCACCACGCCCGGCCGTATTTGTGCAAATCTTTTAGGCAAATTTGTGATTAGAGACCCAGAAGGGAAAAAACCACCCAGTTCAGAAAATGGTTTTCCAAAGGTGTACTGGGCATACTTTTGTATGCACTTGTTTTTTGAGTTTTACTGGTTTTTATCACAATCAAAATAAAGTAACTTCAGTAAAAGGGCCTTGCAAGCTGGGCAGCGGGGGCAAGAGGAAGGCATGATTCGTGGGCAGCAGAGAAGCCCTGGGCTCCTGGCTCCTCAGTTCGAAGCACACCCAGGCATACACACCGGTGAACATGTGAAACACAGCTATCATGTGTAGAAGGGCAGACAGCAGTGACAGTGAGAAGATGCCTTCCCAGGGTCCTGTATGCATGAGTTTTTTGTTTTTGTTTTTGTTTTTGTTTTTGTTTTGAGATGGAATCTTACTCTGTCACCCAGGCTGGAGTGCAGTGGCATGATCTTGGCTCACTGCAACTTCCATCTCCTGGGTTCAAGTGATTCTCCTGCCTCAGCCTCCCGAGTAGCTGGGATTACAGGTGCATACCACTATGCCCAGCTAATTTTTGGTTTTAGTAGAGAGGGGGTTTCACCATGTTGGCCAGTCTGGTCTTGAACTCCTGACCTCCAGTGATTCCCCCCACCCAGCCAATCTCGGCGTCCCAAAGTGCTGGGATTTATAGGCATGAGCCACCACTCCTGGCCGTGAGTTTTTAAATAACCCAGGAATCTGAGTGAGCAGTGAAGGAAGCCCAACTGCCAAGAAACATGTGTGGGAATCAATTATGATTATAGAGGTGCTCTCCACCTAAACACTCACTGTAATTTAGTGATATTTATCTTACCCCAACCTGGGGAGTTTTAGTCTTAGTCTTTGTATCTTATCAGCTCTAGCTTGGAGGAAAGTCTCTCCCAGCTGGAAATTAAAGTGAATCAGCAGTGAGTTACTGCTCTCACTTCCAGGTGAAGGGGCTCAGGTTCGTTCTCCACTCAACGCAGCATGTGGTCAGCCTTGGGTGCCCAGGCCGGAGGTGGCCTGAGACATGGCAACTCCAACAGCTTCTGCACCTGACCACCGAGGCCTGCTTCTGCCTAAGCTGCAGCAGCCATGCTCCAAATGTGCAGTTTGTGGTGAAATTTCACTGGGAAGTCAGAAAAGATCACAAAGGGACCTTGGCTCAGGGATTTCTGTGGACACCTGTTTCCCACGCAGGCCTCACCTGGTGACAGGGGATGTGATCGTTGGGCATGGTGACTGGTGCTTCTGCAGAGGCTTGGGGGGCCGTTAGGTGTCCCACTGTCCACAGCCCAGGGGGCTCACACACCTCTTTGCCTGCCCCTGAGAAACCCAGAGAATTGCTTCTCCACTGCACTACAGGCTTCCCTGTGTGGCTCTGAGCTGCTTCTGGAAGAATCCGCATGCCTTCGTGGGTGTTGTCAGTGAGTGTGCAGGGAATGCTGCCTGAGGGAAGTCTCTGCCATCTGGTGGGCCACAAGATGCCCCTCTGTGGCCTGGTCCCGCGGGCTTCCCCTTCTCCAGCCTGGTCATGCAATGCCAAACTGTCCCCTGATGGTTCTCACTAGGGGTGCATCCTCCCTCCTGCCAGGACACCTGCCACCGCCCCTGACTGCCCTGCCTCCTGCCCTGTCCATGGGCCTGTGTGCATACAGAAGGCTCTTTGTGTGTGCCAATCATCCCCGAGAAGGAAGGAAGGTTCCCCTGTCCACTCCTCTACCTGGGGCAGTGCTGAGATATGCTGCTATTACCTGCCCAAGTCCCAAGTTCCCAGGGACAGCAGGCCAGCTGGGTCTACTGCCTCGTAGCTGCCCAGGACAGTCCCCAGCCCTGGGCTCACAAAGCCACTTATCTTTTATTTATTATTTATTTTGAGACAGAGTCTCACTCTGCCTCCTGGGTTTAAGCGATTCTCTTGCCTCAGCCTCCCGAGTAGCTTGGATTACAGGCACCCACCACCACACCCAGCTATTTTTTTTTTTTTTCTATTTTTAGTAGAGACAGAGTTTCACCATGTTGGCCAGGCTGGTCTTGAACTCCTAACCTCAAGTGATTCGCCCACCTCGGCCTCCCAAAGTGCTGGGATTACAGGCGTGAGCCACCGAGCCCAGCCTAAAGCCACTTATCTTTAAGATGGAGGCCTCAGCCCCTTTAACAGGTTGTGCAGCTCTTGTGGTGGGGGAGTCCCTTTCCATGGTCCATCTCATCCACCACTGGGGACTCCCTGGGGTCCCAGTCGCAAGGACCCACTCCTTCCCCTGCCCAGTGCACAGGTGTAGATGCCAGGCAGATTGGGTTGGGGTTGTACTGCAGATTTTCCTTGCAGCAGCAGATGTGGACTCAAGGAACGAACCCTGTCCTCAGTTTTCAATTCTCAGCCCACAAAAGGGGCATTCTACTTTGAGGAAGGAACCCCTCATTTAACATCTTTTTCTTCAAGTCTTCACCACATCATGGATGTCACTATGATGAGATTGCAGTGGGCACAGAAGCCTGAGGGTACTTGGTGGGAGGAGGCCTGGGGATATTGAGGGACCACATGGTAGGCAGTGGTGGGCAGATTGTGAGTTCTATCCTGATGGGTGCCCACAGGCAGCAGGACCCCCAGAGGCGGCTATGCCTCCATCTCCTAAAGAAAGGCAGCCCTCACTCATGCTGGGAACGTGTGGTGCAGCATTTACAGCCCAGGTTGTGACAAGGATGTGTAAGTCACTGTGCCTGAGTCGGGGAAACCCAACAGTGTTTATTACCTCTTCCCCAGAGAGATGAGGGGACCAGGCATGGCGCTTACCATGAGGGTCAGGGAACTGCACTCAAGGCCTGGACTGGGATCCATCTTCCCACAGCTGTCAGGGAAGGAAGCTGGCCCTCCTATCCCTCCTGGAGGGACCAGGCCACCAGCTCTGATCCTGAGAGGCATCTTTGCAAAGGAGCAGTAAGGGTGGT